AAAATCAGGGCAGCTTATAGAGAAGTTGACAATCACAACTGCGCCATCGAAAACGCCCAACTTGAAGGGTGTTATCACTGTTCACAGGGAGCGGTAGCTAATATTCGTTGTACCTCGCAAGGAAATACGTCAGCAGAAGTACACTAAGGACGACATTCCTTCGTGGTACCATGCGCACTTGAAAACCCTGAATCAGCTCTACCTTCCATCTAGACTCGGCACGTTTTTGGACGCTTTGTCAGAGCTTTCCTGCGTTTTATGTGGGCTGTCAGCTGTTTGCCGGCTTTCGCACATTAAATTCCCATTCGAAAGTTGATGGGTCAATGCGCACATAGTGACGAAAAAGAGCCTTAGTCATCAACCGTCGATAAGTGCACGTTACGGTGCGCCATCGTGGGCATATCGCATCAGAGCACTAGTGAACTACGATGACACATCAAAAATCGAATTCTTTGATAAAATGGTTCAGCTGTAGTGCGTGTAGGTGCGCAAAATTTCCCAGATTCACACGATATTTTCGCATATTACAGATCATGGACCTCGAAGATAAAATTGCGCACCGTACAGCAAAAACTTCGAGACTTTGAAAGAGCGCTATCACGATTATAATCTGCGCAGGAAATCCATGACAATATAGTGAAATACTGTTTCGAATTTCATAATTGCTCAAAAACCGTGGCACGCTCAGAGCATCGTTTGCGCCTACTTAGAAACACTCAAGAAACTGTTCTTTACCTCAACCATGAAGCAGAGCCATAAAAATGGCAATCAGATTTTTTACGCTTACGACTTCTCTTCATAAGATCTCAATGGCGCACGCTATTCGCCCTCCCCCCATCTTAATGGCAATTAAACGGACGAGCGCAAAAGAATGGGCAACGCTCATCGAAGCATAGCACACTCGGCAATAACGAGCCATTCCTTACGAGAGAACGCCATTGGGGCCGTCATGACGGTCTAGCTTCAAGCATTGTATGGAATACAATTTTCGCTAAGGACGTTGCACAAAGAGTACCCGAGAAGAGACGAATCTTCGAAATCCGACTTCGAAGACCAATTACGCAATAAAGTAGACAGTATTCAGCAGCTTATGTCGAGTCCCGAGAAGAGATCATAAACAAGCTACGTTAAGCACCAAATCCGGCCAAGGCGGAGGAGATGGCTCAAGCGATCCAAGAAGCGCATCGAGGAAATAAGATATGAAAGATATTCAAATTCAAAGAAGATATGAAAGTTATGGATACAAGGGCCGAAGGAAAGGGATACCCACCCGAACTCGTAGAAGATGAAGAGTTCGAGGAAAACTCGAAGCACGATAATGAAGCACTTAACGAGAAGCAAAAGGACGCAAAAGATGAAGATGAAAGGGGGCAGAGCGTAGAAAATGACGCTGAGTACGAGGAAAACGCAAAAGACGGAGATGAGGGGGAGCGCAACCCAGAAAATGATGATGAGTACGAAGGAAATACGTAAGACGAAGATGACGAGGAACAAGGTGCAGGAAACAATGATCTAAGGGAGCAACCTGTGCCCCAACATTGTCGGACCAGACGAATGCGCAGCTCCCGAGAATCGAATCCGCATAATCAGAGGGCACATACGTAGTATGGAACAAGCTGTTTTCAACTTCTCTAATAAGGCATTACAAGGAGAACCAACATATCCTTGTCTACGAGGAATAATTGCGCGCGAGCGAGAAAGGTTCATGAAATGTGCTTTTTGGGCGCCACTGGAGAACATTACACTTATTCATGCACTGAAGTGGTCACCACAAGAGATCAAAGGGAATCCGTAGTAGCACGCGATAGTGCGAATTGTGTTTGGAGGGATTCTGCGCTCAAATTGAGACATGCAGCAAGTTCTACACCAAATGTTATCATTGTCCCAGGCGAGAACACCACTCGACACTTTGCGCGATTCTCGAACACAGTGATGAAGTCAGTTTGCGGATTGAAAAAGTCCGTAGAACGCGTCGGGAATGAATGGACGCTTAACGTCATTTGTACTAAGAATGGACTTCCCTGTCATAACACAGGGGTCGCGCGCCGGAATATCGCGGAATCCGCGATCTGTCAGCCTCTGATGCGCCGTGCTCACATTCTCGAAACAGCAAAAGCATGCATCAGTTTTGCCTCATTATGCGCCTTCATTTCATCACTTCATCAATTTTACCTCATTATGCGCCTTATTGCGCCTCTTCTTAGTTCGGATTGTTAATCTATCTGAGTGTTATGTTTTTATGTACCAATGAATGTGAGCGCGCGCTGCGCCTCACATTCATTGGTTGTTTATCATTGATTGTTTTTGTTAGCCTACCTTGTTCTCATTGAAAGGATTAATTACTCAAGCTTGAGATAAAGAATACGTGAGCTGGTGTGGCGTTTCGTACCAAGTGAGTTGTGCGCAGGCAATATTTTTGCGCGTCCATGTATGTATCCCTGTATATGGCTACTAGCCTTCTCCTTGAGGCGGTCCCAACTTCCTTATACCACGGATCGTGGTCCATAATAACGATAATAACAACGCCGACATCGTAGACGGTAAATTATTCGTGGCACGGATATTCCCAAAAGAACTACAATAGAAGAGCGTGGTTCTTGACGAAAAGCAATGTTTTGATCGATGAAGAACTTCCAGGACCAACACTACAACATGAGAGTGTTCAACAGCAGTTGGCCGCCTCTCTGAGTTTCGCTGAATGCTCTTCTGTAGCCTCCACCGCTGACCTAATAGCGCCCTAAGTTTCGAATCAATGGTGCGCCAACATTTACTCACTTCAGCCACCGCTAGTAACATTACTTCTGTTGATTGTTTTCAAGTTCACTCCATACTCTGAGCTACTCCCATATCTCGGCTTTTCACGCTCCTCCGGTAACATTTCGACATATTCGGCCAATATATCTCGCACAGAGGACGAAATACCTGCAATTCGTATATTGCCCTCTCCCTTTCAGCGTCTTCTGACGCTACAGAACCAACAATTTTCAGATCGTTCGTGTAGGTGTAGTGCCCAGTCTCCCCCCCCCCCCCCCCNAAAAAACAGTGTGTGCTACTATCGATTTCCTGAAAAAGAGAAACCACACTCCACATTGTCTCACCGAGTTGGGTTTCTTTTTCAAAGCCACTTACTCTGTAGCGGTGCGCAATGTTAAAGAGACTCCAGGATATGACTAGAAGCTTTACAAAGTTCAGAGTAAACGTGAGCGCAACAAAATTAACTAAAAAAGAAAAGAATTCCACCAACCCGTGCACCTTTCGGACGGAAGCTTCGCCCCAAGTTAGATTTTGCATGTTGATGAAACATAAAAAAAGAAAGCTACGGTTACCGATTGATAAATAGAACAGAGGAAGGCAATAAAGCTTTTTATCTTACGAAACGATTAAAAGGAATCAATAAGATTACCCACAATTGCCAGGGAAGGGGAATACAGTCCTCAAAAACCAAATCTGAACAACTTACGGTCAGGGCAGTGCGCAGCTCTTCCGCCACATTGAACGGCGTGACTCCAGGGGCGCTCTGTCGATGGCCTCCTCGACGACGGTCAGTTTCAACTATCACTCTCATTTTCCATGGCCCGCAACCCCTTTAAATGTTCACGCGCATTTGCTTTTGCTGCATACTGCCCCGACCTTAAACTACCGCAAAACTGCGGCCTAAACACAACTACCGTAACATGCTCCCCTCCTTAAAAAAGATCTGTTCTCAGATGAGACCATTTCCAAACTAGGGTTGTGAATATATGTAGTGCGAGTTCAAGATTGGTTATGCGAAGGCTATATGGCTATGAGAACAATTGATTCCAGCGAGCCTACGTGACAGTTAAAAAAATAGCGGTCGAACTTTGATCCCTGGGGGATTTCCCGCCTATTACGTGATTTCCGGGACTTCAGGGAAAACCTTGGACTTTGTACCCTGAGTAGTATAAAAGGCCCTGCACGTTGAGTCGAGCGCTCTTTTAAGCTGTTTGCATTTTATTGACCGTTTTGTGTTCCGTTGTTCCTTGTTTTAATGAATTATTATTCTATATTACTCTTCAACTATTCAGCGACAGCGGCCACCTTGATGGGACATCGACAGAACATATAATTAAATAGTCTTTTTTTATTTATCTATAGTATCCGCGTGCCCTTTTTTTTATTGTGCATATGCTTCTGTGCGTTGCGTCCAGGGCACCCTCGAACAACGGCTTATAATCATTCAACATTATGCTCCAAAATCGCACAGTCATCTTATACAGAAGGTCCCTCGACCTCGCATTGAGACACTGTTCCATTTTGGGCTATGTCTCATTACGAGAAAAGGCTAGCTAGCATTCAATGCGACAGATGTTAAGAATTTGAATGATAAGTGCAAGCACGAAACTGTTATGTCAAATTCAAATGATGAATTCAATAAAATTATCGTGCGTTACGAAAAAGATATCGCTGAAAAAGTGCAGGTGGGAAAATGATAGGACCGTTGAGCGAAGAACTGTAACATCGAGATGAGAATCACTTCATTTTGAAAGCCGCGACAAACATAGACTAGGAAAACTGACTTGAAATTTAGCGAAATTTCGTCTATTCTGGCCCAAAAATTGTATTAGTGAAAAGCTCTGCTCCAAAGGGACTTTGGACCTTCATCGATTAGATTTGGGGTTGAAATGATGAAATATGTCATGAATGAAGAAACTAAACCTTGAAACACCCACGGCTTTGAGCTTGGAGGGTAGAGCGTAGCGAAAAGATAGTGAAGATTTCAACTCTTTGCTTGCGCGGGATTGACTTTTTTGTTGAAGAAGGATACAGATAGAATGAAGTAGAAAGATAAAGTCAAATCAAATTGTGAAGCGACAACTGATAATCTAATTAGCACTCAAGATCTATCAAGGAGAAAAAATGTGAAAGTGTACATCATAAATGGCCCGAAGAGGTGCAACTTAGAGAAAGTTCTACGGTTATCTTCACTATTCTTTAGTATCATCACATGTCTCATATGGAGCGAATTTTTTAGGTTGACCTCTAGAGTGAATCGTACGATTGATAGAAAATAAACCACAGTTATTAAAGTTGTTGAAAAGAAAGAAAGATAGTAGCAATTTTCATGTGTTTGGTAAATTCGCATTTTTCAAATCTGATACATTTGAAAACAGAGCTCGAATTTATGGTGTATCATAAACTTACAGGAATACTGCTGCTGGTTAATAGTACTCTTATCAAAACCTAATTTTACGTATTTTGGCAGCTCTGCACCTCCCAAGGCTAGCACAGAGACAAATGTCGGATCGGTTTTGTATCCTAATATTTAATAATTGTCTAGGTTGCTGCCAGGAAACTGTTGCTATTATAATTTATAACAGTACTCTCATCAACATCCAAATCCTATGTATTGTGATAGCTCTTTATTTAGAACGTTTTATTCACGGCTAACGTCTCGGCAAAATCGCCTTTTTTAGAGCCTGTAAGTCGAATGTATATTTTCAATTCATTAGGTTATCTTTTCAAATTAGAAGACATTTTAAAGGCTGCGAAGCAGAAGCGATGAAGCTGGTCTGTGTTCGAGCGGAGCTATTTGTTAATAAACACAGAAAGACTTTTGGGCCAAGAATGCCGACAAACGACTCTACAACTGGCTCTGTGGGCTGGAGAAGCGTCCCGCTGGAAGGACTACGAGATGTTTCAGAAA